TGCAAAAGGACTGGATTACCAGGAAAGCTGGAAGGCAGGAAGGCAGGTAGTCTACCATAGTACTGTACATAGTAGGTTAGGGTGGTATACATCATTTCATAGCCATGAAGGTCTTCGTCTTGTCTTTCCTTGATCGCTTGATCATCGGCGTCGGCGATCCCGATACCTATCATCGTCGCGACGTTCATACTGCTGGTCGCCATACGAGTCTTTCCGTACTGGACTTCGATTGTGCGATCGATCTCGGTAGCGACTACGGTAAGAGTCTCGCCGGGGACTTCGACTAGCTTGTCTATCACGGCGCTCGTTCCGCCGAGGGCTTCGGCTGTATGACCTATCTCGACGAGGGGCAGACAAGCGTCCAGACTCTTTCCTGTCGAAGACCATCGAATAGTCCTCCCGGCGACGTGCATTGTTGTTGTCAGCGGCTCGGTACTGGCGTTTCTTCTCAAGTCCAGCTACACCGCCAAACCCACCCCGCTGACCACTGCGCTTGGTAATGGTTGCGTTACGCCAGCTCTCCGATAGTTTTGATACCTAGTGCATCGAGTGGTCAGCAGCGTCCGACGAAAAGGTGCGAGGTAGTATTGCTTACACTTTGCGAGAAATCAACATGGATGCGGTGATCGTCAATTAGAACACCCTGCATCTTGAAGTAGGCCTGTTCACAGTCCTTTTGATTCTCGAATTCGATAAAGGCATATTGAAGGCTGTCGCCTGTTCGCTTGTCCCGGATCACTTCGCACGAGAGAATTGGGCCAAAGCGGCTGAAAATTAGGTTGAGGTCCTCATCTGAAATCGTGTGTCAGTTTGGCTTGAGTTAAATAGCATGGGGCATAGATGATCGAAGAGGACATGGGTTTGTACCTTGGGTGACTGGGTTCAGCTTGCAGACGAACAATACATTCTCTGGTGGCTTGACCTCGGCAAATGGAAGGTCGCCTACCATCTCTAGGGTCAACGCCTGCGCTCTGGCCTCACGCTCCCGTCGTAGCTTTTCCAGTGCCTCCTCATCCATATTGTCGTCGAGATCCTCGTCATCTGCGATTCTCACCGTAGCCAATTGTGCCTTGGATGGCACCGGGCTCTCCGCTGGCTCCACCAGTCCCGGGGGGTCATTGAAGGGATCGTCGAGAATCACAGTGTGACGAATTCTGATATCCTTGAGTGGCCGCCCGCGATCATCGATGAAGACTTCGTTCACCTTCTCTAGAACGTCGAATCCTTCCACGACCTTGCCAAAGATCACTGCCTTGCCATCTAAGTAGTCGAGACCCTCGCCAAGGGTTATAAGGAACTGGCTGCCGGCAATGCGCAGATCTGGGTCGTTGGGAGAAGGGACAGTCGCCATGCTCACAGTCCCTCGCTCGTCGTGTTTCAATTTGGGAGGGATTGGGAGTGAGAAGGTGCGCTGGGAGGGACCTTGCAACAAGCCCCATATCGAAGATCCGCCATCGCTCTCGGGGGAATCAGGTCCCAAGGGATCGCCGGTTTGAAAGGTAAAATTCTTTTGGACGCTGTGGACGGGCGAAAAATTGTAGTACTTGACTTTGCATAGCTTCAGGAAGCTACAGTGGGAGACCATAGATAGCTTAGTTTTCGTTCAGCCACTCGACTTGTACGCGTGCAGGAGAGCATGACAAGAGTACCAAAATGAAGGGATGACACAGCAAGAAATGGTAAGGGGACACATACTTCTCGCAGGCCTTTGGTGACTCGTCGACCAACAGATCAATGACGATGTCGCCGAGAGAGGTTTCCAGCAGGACGCTCATGGCGGATCCCCGGTAGTTGCGGGTGATATCGCGAGGATCGACGGTGCGTAAGACAAAAACAGAAAAGGAGAGTGAAAAAGAACCAAAGGGGAAAAGATGCGAGTGATCCGAATGAAAAGAAGAACCAGGAAGGTCCGGGGGGGGGGGGAAAGAGGGGGTAAGAGGTCGAATTGAAAGCTGCCAAAAGGACGAGCGGGAATTACTTGTAAGAGGGAGGATGATTTGATGCAAACCAGGCAAGGTACGGACGGAGTACAGTCAATAAGAGTGACAAAAGTTATGTTGCGGAGCCGCTACTACGCTGCCGCCCAGCCTATTCCTACCTGAGCAGAGTGTCGGCGGCCCCCCGTCGTAGATCATCGCTGTTCGACTACTGGACATACTCATGTACATGTATGTACATATTACATACTGTACAATTCTGACTTTCTGATGGACTGCGTAGTCAGTCTATTGTTGGGGTAGTGGAGTACTATTTACAGTTACTGTATAGTACTGCTTCATGATCCTTCGACATATTCCGTTCCTATAGTATTTTAAACTGCTTATGCTGCTGCTGCCGCTGCAGCCATCACTACCATCACCACCACTATTCCACATAAATTCTATCGCTCTATCATCCGGACTCTTGGAGGCCTTGATGGAGTTAGACTGATTTGTTCTAGATCTTCAACTATCGTCCTCGGAAAAGGGACTGCCTGCCTGTTTCCAGCAGCCACAAAAAGTTCTTCCCCACTCCTCCAAAGAACCTTCACTCAAACTACCTCTCCCCCCCACCCCGTGTCACCCGATTGACAGCGACTCGACGGTCATACAAGCTCCGAAAGGAGCATTCGTCGCTGAATCAATCATCTTCGACAGCTTCGAGGTGTTCTTGCTGTCGGATGGATGTTCCGGCGCCCCTCTCGTGTAACCGCCGTTACTTTGGAACTAGAGCCGGATATCTTCCGGGAAACCTCGTTGGACGAACAACTTAGGGGTAAGAGATAGTGCTTGCGCTAGGCCTGGACCGAGATTTAGCTGGTAACCGTGTGTTGTTTCATTCCTTGCCGGCGATCTGGTCGCTCGAACCTGTCGCCAACTTATCCTTTGCCCAGCTACCGATTAAGTATTGTACAAAATACAACGAGTATTGTTCCCGGCGCGAAGTGCCGTCGGTCTCCCCCAAGTCCCAGGGCACAGTGGTCTGTCTGCCTTACGCCTAGGAGGTATTTCGTTAACCGTCAGGCCTCGCCTTGAAGATGAATTCAGCTTGATGCACTCCACTCACCCCAAAACCTAGAGGTACCTTCTGAAACCCACGGTGAATGCCTTCCCACACTTACCCGGTTCTACTCTTTGTGAGTTTCACTACTGGGGCGTTGAATAAACGGGCGGTCTCCTGCAGCTAGGTCCAACAGCAGTTCAATAACCCACCCCTTCAGCAATTTTGCAGATATGACAGCAAAGCTAATCCGATGGGGAAACACACGTGGTGCTCACTAGACATGGATGGTATCTCTTTATCTCTAGAATGATCATCATAATGTTGATTCCCCGTAACGCCTGGAACTATCGAGATTCCAGCATGGATTCAATGAATTTCACTGGGTCTTGGTATCTTTGTGGCTGGTCCTATTGCCAATGACAGCTTTCTGATCCAACCACTGACTGAGAGAATGTTCCTGAATCGAACGGAAGACACTTGGGTCATGACGCCTTTCCTTAATCTTTGGGACTTCAGAAGGGCAATCTGCTCTCCTCCCTCTCTCGACCGCTGCGTCTTATTCACTTTTCCCCGTCCCCTTTCTCCTGAGCCTACCATTGTCGCCGTGTCCCATCTTACGGGCGGAAGCCACAGAGAACCTATGGTCGTCTCATCTCCAGCTTCATTAGACAATTGACCGATTTCCCGTGTCCGATCTCGATCTTGGTTGAAAAGGGACGACACTAGTACCTTAGTTCAACCACCTCCTTTCCACATATTGCCTGCACCAAAGCTACCGCAATGGCGGCGAAAGGATTGGTTTCGATCTGGACCAATCGTTGTGTGCAAGTGCTGCAGGTTTGAGCACAAGCAAATGTCGACAAGGCCCTGCCCGTCAATGACAATGTGCACTGGGCTCGTGCCCCTGACCTTCTTGCATACTGAGTCGATCTTTTTTTTTTTTTGCCCCACAGTCCAGGTCAACCCTCGTCGAGTCGCGAGGGTTGGTTACCTTCATTTACCTTCATCTTATTCGTTCTCAGGCTGCATTTTTCCCTCCCTCCTTTTTTGAGGGTTTCTCGGTCACTTACGGCCAGTTTTTGTTGTTCTGGTTCACTTGACGCTTCCCCAGCCCTCTAACAAGAGGAGCCCGGGGAGTCTTAAGCCTTGCACGATACGTAGACCCGGATCCAGACCTAGGCTGGCGATCTTTGCTTGACGCTACTTAATGCTAGTCAATTACTCCATACTGCCATGCCAGGGCTCCACTCACTTATTCGGGCTTGGCGGTTGAGCCACATTGGCGCGTTGCTGGAACAGAGCCGATCTTAGGACTCAGTCTTTGCTCTACACGTTCGTCCTTAAGGCATAGCAGCCAAGCTTTCCGAGACATCGGTGTAATATTCGCAGCTTGGTGCGGTCCGTTTGCATCGTGCTCTGGATCAGTTGAGTTCTTCCTTTATTCTTGGCTCCGGACTTCTATCTCTCTCTCTCTGCCGAAGCTGCTCGTGGACCTGACTGAAAGCTGCCGATCTGACCTGAGCTGAGATAAGTTAGCTATAAGATGTCAAAAGTACCAGTCAAGACTAGACCGCCGAGAGAAGTTTGTTTGATGGTTGAAAATAGCAGGCGTCAGGCCAATGGGGTTTGCATATCAACCATTGTTCAAGCAGAGAGCAAACATCCACACGTTCGTTGCTTCCGCCTTCCGGTCAATAGCTTGGTATTCGCGCTGGAGGCGCTCATGCAAACGTAGGCGGTGGCTGTCCGCTCATCGAGGCTGTCCTGGCCGGTCGCTTCTGACGCAGGGCCCTATCGCTGGCTACAAAATATCATTCATCATTCAAAGACCAGGACCAGTGGTGGAAGCCACCACATGTGGAGTTCACGTTGGCATCTATTTGCTGAGACCGACCCTGGAGATCTCAGTCTGCCCAGCTTGGAGTGATAGGCTTGCCTGTGGGTTTCTATCAGGCCATTTCTACAACTGGTGCAACGTTACTCCGAATTTGTGAAACTGAAGTCCCTACAACGCTGGGATATTTTGTCTCTCTGTTCTTCTATCATTGTGTCATGGAGACCAGACCTGAATCTTTGGACACATCATTACTGTTTTGTTTTTGTTCTTGCTTTTTCTTTTCCTTTCTTTTTTTCTTTTCCCTTTTACTTCTTTGCCTGATTGAGATGCAGCACGGTTGTTTGCATGGTGCTCTCATCTGTACACCCAGACGCCTAGAAGAAACAGGTATCAAAATGGCCACACTCTTTCGAATGGGGAAGCGACCTAATTCCCTTTCCAGTTTTAGGGGCTTCGGTAGGGGAAGACTTTGTTCTCTCTGAAAACTGCCTGCCAGCAGTCGACTTTCATCGAAATGACAAGATACGAACATCAGGGAAAAAAAGAACGAACGAAAAAAAAAAAAAAAGGTGAAGGGCCAGACTCTCTTTCAGAAACCATACGCAACGCTAACACATGGACTTAAAACTGGCCTTGCTTCCGGCTACAGCCCTCTCACCCTTCCTGGTTCCTTTTTCAATACTTAGGGGATGGACCGGATGTCTTGATTGCAACAATCCCTGATCTATAGACCTTTTTATGCTCCTTGATAACCTCCTGAGAAGCTTTTCCCTTCCGTAAACTTGTCTCGAATACATGTGAGTCTCGAATTCGGGAAACACCATGTTTTCGCCCCCGCTGACGGATGAAGTAATGGCTCACTCTATATACTCCTCGGAGGAGGAGGGGGTTGGCTTTGATTCACAATCTAAGCGAGATGCTCTATCGATACCCCCGCGCACCAGTCGAGGCGATAGCTACCAGGACATGGTGGATAGAGCTGGTTGTCAGAGTCCCAGTCCCGAGATCGACAGCAAGAGTCGAAACTCGACACGCCGCCGCATTCAGGTAGCGGTAAGTTTGGCTCCCCTTGCTCTTCCTCTTCTTGTCTCGGCCTCCTCCAAACTGTCTTCTTCTATGACTGACGAGTTGTCAGTGTAATCGTTGCCGAAAAAGAAAAATCAAATGCAGCGGCGACAACGGTGATGGGCAGGGCTGCTCCAACTGTCGCAGCTCTGGAAATGCCAACTGTCAGTTCTTGAGGGTGAGTCCAGAGGTCGTTTACACTCTAGGTGGCAACAACCAGAGCTTACTTTTAACGCAGGTCAATTCTTCGATGATGCAGGCGAGAGTTAGCTGGCCCTATCCAGCGATGAATGCTACGATGTCCTCTTCTCACCGACATGGGTCATATGTGCAGTCAATGCCACCAAAAACGATGGCCACTACGTTAGGCAACCCTTCTACTTTGCGCGTGAACCCTTTCGCCCGGGCACCTGGTTATGGCTGTGGGTCAGCTGAGTCGCAAATGTCCGTTGGTCGACAGTCGTTTGGGTGCGTTGACCACGCCGCTCACTACGAGGAGGACCCCGGGATGTACAGCCCTCAGACTTCGGGGTATATGGTCTCTGGGGCACCGCAGACCGTCATGGCGGAGTATTGTGGGCTCCCATGGAGTTCCAAAGCGTGGAGTCCTAATGTGTATTCTGGCCGGAGTCCTAGCCCAGGCATTTTCGCCGAACACGAGAGCGGGAGTTCCTTGTCTCAACCTCTATATCCCTACATGTTCTCGGGGCCTCCAAGTCAAATCACTGATGCCCCGCCGATTGTGCCAACAATGAGTTGTACCTCCGTCGAGGGACAAGGGGTGGATCGGACACTTCCTGACCCCACGAGTCGAAGTCAAGGTCCACAGTGTCCTGCTGGATTTACACTCACGCCCGAATTTCTTCCGGTCCCGGAGACCGTGGATCATCGAGCCGGGATTGGTTGGAACTACAAGAGCGCCACCGGCTCTAACAACAATATTCTTTCCTCAGTCCAACGGTTTCCGAACGAAGCCGTAGGCGGCAGTCCCGTCACTCGGACGAGGACGAGTGCGCAAGACATGGTCTTCGGAACTCCTCTGCTCACTACCATTGGTGCGCCTTCTCTTTTGTCCTCCTCTGCCGGGCCACTTGCTGGCTTGGTGACGGCCACCACGAGCGATGACTTTCGTGGGAGTGGGGATGGTGGTCAAGCCTCGAGAACTCTCGCGCAGAGTCATCTTCCCGACGCCGACTCGGACATCTACGTATACAGCAGCAGCGAAAGGAGGGACAAGCACTCATACAAGACGGATGGATCAGCATCAGTGCTGATGAACGGGCTACCCTACACACGCCCCGGGCCGGGGCTCTATGGGTCGCCGATGACTACAACGCCCGTCTGCCGCCCCGATACAGTGATTTATGCACCGCCGATACCATCGCTACATCATCCCAGCGATTTCTAGCCCTTCCGTTCGCAGGAGGGGGGCCATTGTTGTTGTTCTGGCAGGCAAGTGCAAGTCCGCTGGGAAGTATGAATGAGCGGTAACCGACAGCAAGACTGTTGGTACGTGACACAACCCAAGAGCTGAAACAAACGTGATCGGCTCGACTCAACGAATATTGGGGTACCCCAAGTCCCTAATCATTTGAGACTGGAGGGAGACGTGTCAACTCCTCCCCCCTGATTAATTCTAGACATGGAAAGGTAAAATTAATACTGAGCGTTGGCGGCAGTTCCTCTCCTCACCCCATGGGGCCTATTGGTAATTTCAGCACGCGCAGACAATGCGCTGGCTCTTTGTTACATTATTTTCTCCCTAGAGCGAAAGAAGAAACCAGAACAGGGAAGGGAAAAAAAAAACAAAAACAGGCATGTTACACTAATACTAGGGACTGTGTTGGATTTGTGATTCCCAGGACTTGCTCGGTGTTGCTGTGTTTAAACTTTTTGCCTGTGATTGGCACGACTGGGGAGGCTCTCCGTTTTATCTTTGGCTGTTTTTCTTTCCTTTGTTTTGTTTTGTTTTCACTTTTTTTTTTATCTCTCTTGGGTTTAGGGTGGCTACTATCTTGTCTCCTGTAGAGGATGATCCCGCTCCGTTGGAACTTGGTTATTGTAATGCGTTTTTATTGTTGTTGTTGCTGATATTTCCGAGGAATTGTCTATGGTGGTGGGTTACTTGTTAGTTAGCAGCCTGACTGGGGCTACACTGCTGGTACTAACAGCAGTCTTAATGAGATATTGCATATACCTAGTATACCTATACCTATACCTACCGAGGGCAAATCCACGCCCATGACGATGACCATATCCATCCATAATCTCTCCCCTTCTCCCTTCTTCTTCCTCTTCTTCTCCGACCCAACCGAAACAACAACAAAAAAAAAACACTAGAAAACCACCAAACATTGACGAATAAGCCCATCCAATCAGAAAGTAAATCCCCTCTTCCCCCAACTCAGACCCTCTCGGAATTCATCCCGCCAGCAAAAGCAAGTCAAGAGGGCCCGTGCTTTAACTTTCCCAACGGTGCTACTTCCCTCCAATCTCTCTTTCGTTCCCTCGCCTTGTGCACCCGGAGGATCTCAGACACGGGGGCTAGAAGGAGTTAAGGGAAGTAAGTAAGGTCGTAAGCTGGAAAAGACGATCCTGTAACCTCGCTCCAGCTCGGACCTTTCATACCCTTGTCCAGGGTCTCTCTCTGTCTTGTTTCTCTCTTGTTTCTTGGCCCTTTACCCCCACCCTACTCCCCTCCTCCTGAAATGTAACCTAAATTGGAGCATAGCAAGTGGATGCCAGGTGGGTGATTCATCCGGGGTCCGTGGTGATACAGTACTACTACTACTATTATCACTATCCGAGAGGAAAGAAAGCTACGGACGTACGTACTCGCCTACCAGCTCCATGCTTCCGTGCTCGAATATGCGGGCGTAGGGGGGGCGGGGGAAGAGAGGGTTCTGGGAAAGGAGGCTCCCCAAGGGGAAACGCTTGTGCTGGGGGATCGCACAGGGTCAAGAATGATACCAGCCCGGATGGGATGGGCTAGTAAGAGACAGAGAAAAGAAAGGAACGAGTGATGGACTGTGATGCCTACCGGGGACTGCGGGCTGGCTCCGATCAAATCAACCGGTCGATAAGGATGCGATAAGAATTTGATGGGGTAGTAAAGGTAGTTTGGGTAGTCAAGGGGATATGAAAGGCCAAGGCATGAAGAATCGATAAGGATCTCGGGGTGAGTGTCATGAAAGAGGCAGCAAAAAGGATATCTGGGGTGATGCACGAGCCAAGTAAAAGAAAAAAAAGAAAGGTATCCATTTTATCTCCTTTTTGTGGGGTGTTGGAAAGAAAAGAAATCCGACCCATGTTTTGATTTTGTTCCCCCCCCGGCATACAGAATAAGCCCAAACGGTCTCGAGTTGATTTTTTTTGAAGTTCCCTGTCATCGGATTCATGGTTTCATATTGTAGATATGAAGAATTGGCGGTGGCCGCCCATGAGAAATAAAAAAAATGTAAAACGCCCTCCACACACAACCAGTTCGTTCATATCCACCAGGGTTCGTTGGTTCAAAGAAGACCGTGGGGAATTCCGGCAGAAAGTGAAATCACCCCCGATCCTCCCCGTCGTCAAGCTCAGCCCGTGGCCGCGCCGTCCGCCTGGAACCGATAAGTCCATCCGACTCCGAGTCCCGAGGCGAAGACGTGAAAGCCAGCGAGCCGCCACTCTATTTAGTTCCCCCTTCCATATTTTCACCAATAAACGTAAACGCAGAGAACTCTCAACCGAATCGAGCCGCTTAGTTCTTGTTCTTCTTGGGGCCCTTGACCTTCTCGGTACCGCGGAACTTCTTGGAGCGGTTCTTCCGTTGCTTGCCTGGAGGGGGTGTGAGTATACACGAAATGAGGAAACATGCGAGGCGAATAGAGACACAAGGAGGGACGTACGCTGCTGTCTGCTGGGCTTCTCGATCTTGGTGGCAGCACCGATGCGGACCAGACGGTAGTGGGGCTCGAACTTCTTCAGGGCCTCCTGGGAGTCGTAGACGAGAGCGAAACCAGTGCTCTTACCGCCACCGTACTGCGTACGGAAACCGAAGACGGAGACCTGGTCCTTGTTGGCCTTGTACAGGTCGGCGAGCTTGTCGCGGAGTTCGTCCTTGGAGACGTTGGCGCGGTTGGGGTGGAGGACATCCCTGTGTGCAGAATATCAGCGTCTGCCGTTTCTCATGCAAAAAGTCTGGTCGTGTTGCCCGGAGGTTGCTCTCGGATGAATTCCCAGTCGATAAATCTTCTCTTGTCTTCTTTTGCCCTTCACGCATATATACACACTGAATGTGATATTGCCCCCGGGCATGATTTTTTTGGGTTGCAAAAAAATCTTCCCTATCAAAATTGTCGTAACATTCCCTTTGTGTTGCCATCCGGTCGACCTTGGAATCGTCATGTCGTATCTTCCTCCTCTCTCGCTTTCCCATCTCTTGCCTGTATCTGGGTCTGTATCCTCCCTCCGAGCATCCTCCGGGCAGTAGCATTCGGGGGAAGGCTTCTTACACGACCATCTGCTTGCGAGCAAGCAGGGGGTTGCGGATGAACTTGCGAGTCCGCAGGGTAACGGGAGCGTCGGCCATGGTTGGAAGTTGACAGCGAAGGAATCTGCGTGCGACAGGAAGCAAAAGGGGGGGCAGATTAAGGAGGGCGCGGGTTTGTCGAAGTCGCTGTCAAGTCGGGTCGGGGCTTCGAAATGCGGCGTTCGATTCAATTTTGGTCTTGTTGTGCACAAGTTGGCTGTGGGCTCGGCTAGACGACCCTAGTCTGGATCCGGTTAGTCCGAGTGCCCTGCTCAATTATTCCCCATCGGAACTAGCGCCATGGTGCCTGATAAGAGGCCGCTGACTCAGCCTCTGTTCCTTATCCACGACTTACTATGTATTTTCTACGCTACAATCTACACTAGAGCATCATACAACTTCAACCTCATTCTCACCATGTTCTCCCCCGCCTCCCCCATCGACCGTCTCGTGTCCCAGTACTACCAACAGCTCGAACTTCCCTCTCTTGCTCTCCCCGACAACGCCACGCTCCTCACCCCCACCACCCAACATGCCCTCTACAACCGCATGTTCAACGAGTCCGACCCCGCCCTCTGGCCGCTGCCCCCCGCCCATTATCGCATGCGCGTGCTCAAATTGATCATCGCCCGCCTTGAGCAATCACTTACCAATCCGGAGGAGGATGTATGAACCCTTTATCTGTATGACATGATCTGATCAGTTCCAACCATCGCCGATCAAATTCATTCCTCCCTTCCCTTCCCCCGCTCGTTACCCTCCCACCAACTCGGCTCGAATAAACTAATCCCCCCTGATCCAGGAAATCATCGACGACCTCCTCGAAACATGGGGTACCTTACTCACACACCCCAAACCCTCCGCCATCGCACAAGCCCAACAACTCACCTACATCAAATACACCGCCCCGCCGCCGCACCATCACCCAACCACCGATTCTGCTCCCGCCGACCTGACACAACAACAACAACAACAACAACAACAACAACAACAACAACAACAACAACAACAACAACAACAACAACAACGAACCACCATCACCTCCGAATCCCGCGGCCTGATCCTCTCCGCGGGCACCACGGGATTCCGCACCTGGGAAGCCGCCCTCCACCTGGGGACCTACCTCGCGACGGACCCGACCGCCGTCCGCGCCGGGATCGCCGGGAAACGGGTGATCGAGCTCGGCGCGGGCACGGGATTCCTGGGCATGTTCTGCGCGCAGCATCTCCAGCCCCGGTCTGTGGTCGTGACCGATCGCGAGATCGCCCTGATTGAGCAGATCCAGGATTGTGCAGGGCGGAATGGACTGGTGGGTGACGGCGACGACGCGCCCGGCAAAAGGTTCGCGGCGGGGATCTGGGAGTGGGGGACTCCGCTGGATATTCCTGGGCTGGGTGAGGGTCGTGTTGGTTCCTCGGGAGGGGGAGGGGGAGGAGAGCTACCGGGAGATGGCGCCGTGGGTGAAGAAGCGAAGAAGGGTCTTAAGTTCGATGTCGCATTGGGCGCGGATCTGGTATGTTATTTTTTCGTTTGGATGCCTCTTTTCAAGAATCCAGGGCCATCGCTGGTCACCGGGAACGCAACTGACTCATGGAACCTCTGGCCTAGATCTACGATGTTGACCTTGTTCCCCTCCTTGTCGCGACCATTCAGGACCTCTTCGCCAACTATGGTCTACAGCAATTTATCATCTCCGCCACTTTGCGGAACGAGAACACTTTCCGCACGTTTTTGAGAGCTTGTGGTGCGTTGCCCCCCTTCCCCTCCCCACCCCCTGCTGTCTGTAGTGCACTCACTTGATGCGCTCCTCTTTCCGGTATCAGCAACTGATTCTCTTGCAGAAGATCAAGAGTTCACTGTCGAGCAACTCCCATTCACATCACCTCCCGAGGCAGAGCAGAAGGGCTTCTATCATTCCACGGCGATCCCAATCCATATATATCGGATCACAAGACCGACAGCCTAGTCTTCAATCTTTCTCAATGAACCTGAAACGAGATTGACGTCGAGTCAACAGGAATCAAATATAGACTACCAGCTCGCTTGCCGCTCTACCCGCTTACTTCGACCTTTGGCCTCTTTGGTGACCTAACGGCAAAACAATCATGGTCACATATTGTTGATGGTGGATCTATCTTCAGACAAAGCTAAAATCTCGGCTTGAGAGGGTAAATTGCGAAGAACAACTGTATATATGTCAAAAACCAGTGCCGTTCTGTATGTAATAAGTCTAACATCCTGGGTATCATGTCTATCAAATCGGATAAAGAAACGCGCTCGAGCGATGGACAGCAGGCCGAATACTGTTTCGAGAAAGATTGAACGGCCCACAGAAAAAAAGTTGATCAATCAGGGAACGTGCTGCTGCTCAGGCAACTGAGTTATGCTCAAATAGAATGAATCGAAGGAGCGAAAATGAGGTATATACGAGGCTATGTTTCGTTGCTTTGGGGGGCAATTACTACCGAGCAAGGTCACTCAGCAAGGCTCTCCCTGAGAAGTCCCTCGTCCAAGTTGTCGGCATGTAGGGATACAGGTGCACGAGACACGGGGCGAAATCCCAGGATCGGCCCTTTTTGGTTTACTCCCGGGTGCCGGAAGGGCAGGCTCGGAGCTGGACTTGCTCGAACCTTGATGGAGCTTCTGGTGCTGTTCCCACTGGAGGAGGGCCTCACTTGGGAAGAAGTATCCTCCTCAATTGGGGACGAATGCATGGTTTCATGCCCCGAGACGGCGGCGGTGCCCCAGCGACCGCGGACCCAACCACCAACCCGGCGGGGCAGAGACAGCTTCCGAGAAGGCGTAGTAGTGCTACTGTCCGAGTATTCGTCTTCAGGGACCACCTGTTCAGTTGACAGCTGTCTGTTCCCAGTCATTGATGCGAGAAGGGCCTGTGGACGCTGGTTTGGCAATAGGGCTGGCTCTCGTCCCGCCGTCACATTGCTCGTCGAAATCACCGGGGGTGTGGGGAATAAATCCATATTCGACGAAATAATGCGTCGAGGGATGCGGACAGGCATGGTGGTCGAGGGAAGGTCGTTCACATTCGTCCGCGACGGACGTCGACTCGGAGCATGAATGTCCATCCCCGCCACGGAGAATAGACTCTCGTGGGACGAGCACCGACGCAGGGAGCGGTAGGGAGAAGAAAATATGTCTGTTATCATAGGAGACGCAGCTCGCTCCGACTCAGCATACTGCATCGACTCCATCTCTTCCGGAATCACAGCTTCCACGACCCCTCTGTGTGGCGATTCAGCATCCAGATTACGTTGGGTGAGATAGTCATATCTCAGATCATCATCATTGGGATGGGTCAGACGATCAGTCTCATCCCGTCGCAAAGATGCATCGGAGTGACCCTTTCTGCGACGGCTTGTCAATGGAGAGGAAAAGACGGTACTATCTGGGCTAGTTGGCTGGGAGAAGTCGCAGCCGCGTTCCGCGCGATCAAAGATCGAGGGCGGTTGGTAAGCGGACTGTGGCGAGCTGGCCACGGAGTCCGTCATTGGAGTTTGCAATGACCACCGATGAGACGCCGCTGGAGGGATAGAGACTGATGTTTGGGACAATATGGTTGATGTGGAGGAGGTAGATGACTGCGAGCGGTGATTAGGCTTGCGTGTTCCCGAGGCCGAGTTAAGCACCGCCGCATTCCCCAAAGATCGTCTTTTCTTACTGCCCCGACGAAACAACGAACCCCGATCCTTTTTGGCACCAACAGGGATAGCGGGTGGATGGTAATGATGGTGAATATGGTATTCCTGCGACACGCGACGTGACTCCTGCGCTTCCAGTTCCTGGCTCAAGGTTGTTGACGGCCGAGGTTCCTGCCCGTCGGACGCAGCTAGGGGCTGATGAGACAAAATCTGATCCCGCAGGTTTTGCACCTCCTGATTCGAGCTTTCGAGCATGTCCCGCAGCTCCATGATTCCTATCTGTAGGTTGGCATTATCCTGTAAGATGTCGCGTACGAAGTGGGAAACCACGTTGGCGCCCGCGCGATTGCGTCCCAGCTCCTGCGCAGCAGCCGCACCTTTCAATCGACCAGCCGCACCATCGAGCTCGCGCTCCACGGTTCGTCGGCGCTCCATCCGCTGGATCAATTCCGCATGGCGCTCTCGTTCTTCCCGGGCCTCCTTTTCAATGCGGTCAACTTGATCATGCAGATCACGGAGAGTGCATTCCGCCTGCTTCCAGCGTTGGACGGCCGACTTGGATTCCTCCTTCGCCGACTGGAGACTCTCTTGTAGTCGACTCTGCTCCAACTCCATGTGTGCGAGTTGGGCCTCGAGATCCGCCGCGCGAGCTGCCGACATGGTCAATTTGCGCAGCTCAGTCTCGGTGTTTTCCAGTCGCGATGCCAACGATTTGGCGTGTAGGTCGGAATCGGCGACGGCCTTGTTGAGGCCCTCTAATTGCTCCAGTAAGTCGCGATTCTCCTCAATGATGCGGGCGTTCTCGGCTTGAACCTCGCGCTTCTCCCGTTCGAGAGTTTCAATGCTGAGCAGGAGACGCTGGCGGTCCTGTTCCGCCTCCGCCATGTAAGATTCATGACGGTGGAGTAAAGCCTGCAGAGCAAAGGTTAGCGATGAGGAGCCCATACTCGTGGCCGCCAATGCGGCCTTGTCTGAGGCGACAGCCATGACGAACAAAGAAGCATTGAGAGAGAATGGGAGACTTGAGACTGGAAGACGCCATGAGAGAGCGGGGGAATGTTGTGACAGGCCAGGTGGTAGGCCTGCCTCAGTTGGCCGTTCTTGTCTCGTGAATCTTCAGATCTCTTGGCACTCAATCCCCCAATGGAGAACAGTCATTCAAACCGAGATTGTCAAATTCCAATCAAAGGACAAGCAAGAAAGCAAACGATGTAAACAATGTCCATCCGCCAGTGAAGGGGGCCAAGGACATGAGGTGAGTAATCAGGCATGTGAGTATAGAGAGAAAGTATGTGAGAGGGATGAGGATATATAGGCCGACCATCCAAAGCAAGCAAGTTAGTGGGCAAAGCCATTTGACCGGCCACCAGTCAGACAGCCTCATATCTGGCTAAGTTCTGTAAGACTTCATCGGCTCCAGGCCAAGAATCAGGCAGGGCAAGGTGCATCGATAGTGATAGTGGTGACTTTAGTGGCCGAAGGAACAGACCTCCGCTGCCAACAATGATGCCGCCTGACGTATTGGCCGAAAGGCCGAACCAACAAGAAGCCGGGAAAAACAAATCTGCAGATAAACAAATAGGCAACTCGAGGGCAGAAGGCACTAAACGGGAAAAGTAAGGGAAATCGGAGAACGCTGCCAGCAGACACGTACCTGGCCTAGTTTAGCAGCAGTTGCAAGATCCTTTTCCAGCCCCTCAAGAGCCAGATGATTATGGAGCAAGAATGCACAGTCATTCCGGCCACAGCAGCATTGAAGATCCGTGGTCGAGACGTGGGCAGAGGCTGGGTGGGCGGGAATGCTGGGAAGCTGACCAGTAGTGGACGAATCCATGGCTTGGGGGGGGGAGGAAGAGCGGGAGCAGTTGCAGCAGTTGCAGCAGACGCAGCAGCAGCTAAAGAATGGAGAAAGGGAGGGAGGGGTTAACAGTTGAGCTGGCACCCCTGGAACGACGTGATGAAATGGCCCGGAGGCCCCCGAGCCTCGACGCTTGTCCAAGCTCCGGTCGTAGATTGATGAAACAAGAATAGATCGAGATGGATACAGATCGCGCGAGAGGGTCTTTCTGTCTGTGTGTTTCTGTCCGTCTCTGTTTCCGTCTCACAAACTCCACTAGACCATAGTAGGTTGTCTGCTTCTGGCTTGAACCTCCCTCAAATCTGTGAGAAAGATCAAGCTAGAAGTTCTCAATTGCTCGATTGAAGCATGAATCGGTGGTTCAGACGGAGAATGATGGAATGTGGAAAGGACCGAGAGAAATGAAGGGGAATAATCGGAGTACTAATCATGGATGCAATCATTATTATGGGTGGATGGTCGGTGGATGGAGAAACGGAGCTGAAAGCCGTTCGAGGCGGAGACCGCTGGCGCCTGTTGATGATTGGCTCCGAGAGGGCCGGTTGGGCGGTGAAAATGGACCGGGTCTGAAGAGGCGGTAACCATAAGGTATAGTACCTGAGGTAGTACTCCGTACTATGTAAATAATAATCCATTGAAGACGTAGACTTGTTACGTGCGTTCAAGGAAGGCAGCATAACCTGCTCGCAGCACGCAACTCACTAGTCAGCTTTCAAGAACTTACAAATCACAAACGATGGACTGCATGTGTATTCTGGTACTACGGACAACCCCACCAGAGACTAAACTCCTGCCCTGAATGAACGAGGTACTACTGTACAATAGTATGTACCCGGGCCTAGTACTGTACCTTGTCGCCCAACCTACCAACCCCCCCCCCCCCCCCCCCCCCCCCCCCCCCCCCCCCAATGACTGCTGCTGCATGAAAGGGCTGCTGAATGATGGCCTGTGACGCTGGGACAAAAAAAAAAAAGGAACAAAAAATTCCCCACGACTTCGGTGCTCTGGGAAATCACTCATCAAAGATACCAGTCTTTCGTATGTTAGAGAGAATAATCACAGCAGATTCAGACATGTCCTCATACACCTTTCTTCCCATCCTTCATTAAAGCAAGAAGTCATGGCGTACATTAATAAACGCCCCAGCGCCGCCCTCCTCGCTAATCTCATTCACCAGCACCTCCGTCTGTTGATACAGGCGCTCCAGCGCCGCCGAAGATGACTTGCCGAGTGACACTATTTGACGTTGTTAGCCACCGCGTAACCCAATGTAGCCACCCACCCACGGTCTGCCTTACCTAGAATGGCCGAGTTCAACTCTTCTGCCACGGCTATGCGGTTGGCCGGGTCTAGATAATGCCCATGCACCGACTGGCGCGCGTCCTGATAGGCCACCAAGGAGAAGATATCTTCCAACATCTTCCGGTCCCCGCCCCGTTCATCGGGTGGATAGTCGACGAACAGCTGTTGTCCATACTGTACAGCCTCGGTCAGCAGCTCCTTTGACTTGGCTGCCGTCTCGGAGTCTTCAATCTCCATCCCCTCAACTTCCCATCCGTCCCCGTCGTGCACTTGGTCATCTAACTCCATTTCCTGGTCAAACACCGCACTGTCCAACAAGCCATTCGTCGATCGTCCCCGCTTCGACGCCGTTGCTGATAGCTCACTGCACCGCCGCATCATTTCCAAAAACTTGCGACATCTTAATTTGAAATGAATATGGGGGTAGGTCTGTAACACATTGGCGTAATATGCATTGGTGTACTTGAGCGCCTTGTCTATATCTCCATCGAGGATCGCGGCTCGGATCTCTGGAGAAAAATCATAAGGTTAGTGCACTGCAGCCACCGCAGGTGAGCACAAGGAAAGACCTACTCTGTCGATTCACGGCTTCCACATCCTCCTCAACTTCATACTTCTGTAGCGAAGTGGGTCGGCCGTTCTCTAACGCCGTCGACTCCGCCGCCACCTCTTCGGCAAACGCGCGGGCCGTTTCCACGTAGCCATCATGGGCGAGGAATTGCGCCACTAATTCTTGAAGTAAGGCATTCTCATCCAATGGCGGCTGAAGATTGGCAGTGCTGGTCAAGGCAATTTCCGAATAGACGAGAGACTTCTCTTTCTGCGGTGGAAGTATGTCAGCAGAGGCGAACGGCAAGAAAAGTGCCTCAAGGGGCCGAACAATACCTTGACCATGTCATCGATATCGAACATAAAGGGCTGCTGGCCGAAATTGGCGATGATATGCACCGGCGGTTGCTTCTTCATTCCCACCGATGGATAGACTTTGAGGTTTCGTAGCTCCCGAAAGGCGTTCCCTGTGTACTACTTAGTCCTCTTTCGGTCTTCTCGTTGGGCTGCAAAGTGCCACGACCTACCTAAGAAAACGCCGTTCTTGGTGAAAAAGGCACAACCGGTCGAGAAGTTCACCCCACACCCCACCGTATCATTTGCTCCGAAAGTTGGACCGTATTGGCGACCTTGTCCTTGGCTTTCGCCAAAGAAGGACTTCCCGTCATCCCCATGATAGGCCCACGATTCTTGTTCCCAGCCCGGTAACCTTTCCATCGACGCTTTCTTGCTTGAAAATCCAATGCCGATCATCCTAATGTTGTCAGCCGAACCCCACACGAACCTCAGTCAGCACTTTCAACCAGCACATACCCTTCTTTAGGTTTGGATAGAACAGTGATCTCAAAGTAGTAGATCCCGCATTGCGGAGGCATAGGGTTGTCCGCGCGAACGGCCGCCGCCTCATGATCATGCTTATTGACTGGGCCCGTATACCGAACCTCGAAACCGCCGTTCGTCAGCTCCAATCCCGAGTATTTATCCGCCGCGTTCCACCCGGAGGGTAAGGGGAGTAAGTGGTCATCGTCGTTGGGAGTTTCTCGTTCGACAATATCATAGGTCATGCCTCGATGAGAAGGGGTGATCCGGGGCAAGCTAGCCTGACTCGACGAGGTTGAAGGAGGGATCGACGTGGCGGAGGGCACGGTGGCATCTCGATGGGCGGCGAGTTTGGCCCGACGGGCGGCCTCAAGGCGGGAGACGTAGCGGGAGTTGCGGAGATAAGAGGGGGTGACGGAGGGAACGGTGTCGGTAAAGCTGCCCGGCTGGTGGGCGAAAGGATCGTGGAGAGGAAAGCTGGCGTATTTACGGGAGTGAGGAGGCAGAGTCTCACCGGGAGACGACCGCCAGGGCGAATTCATGATATCAGCATCCACGGCGGCGGATAGCCTGGACAGGCGGCTGTCGGCGGCGGTCAAAGGCGGGGGTGGATATGCGAGGTTCAGATGAGAGAACGAAGAGCTGCTGGTGGAGGAGAGAGCGGCAGTACCGGATAGAACCGAGGCGTAGGACGAACGACGTGGGATAGAAGAGATACTGGGAGGACCAGTGTATGCGGCGGCGGTGGTGGTGGTTGTAGTTGTAGTAGTTGTAGTAGTCGGAAGAGGAGGAGCTCGAGGAGCTCCACCGGAAGGGGGAAACGATGCGTCAGTCATTATTCCTGTTCAGTAACTAGCTAATTTAGTGGTGGGTGGGGGGAAGGGAACGAAACACCAAAAGCCCCCAACTGGTCAATACACGCCCATACTGTAATCTTGTATACATTAAGTAAAAAGCATTGACTCGGGTTCCAGAGTCACTCACAGAAGTATGTCCTGTACGTTGCTCTGTTCGCTGACTCCACAATAAGCTCTTTATGTTCTCGGTGTGTGTATTCGCCTTTTGGTTTTTTTTTTCCTCCTTTTCGTTTTGTTCTATAGTTTCGTTTCTTGTCCGTCCGGCGGTTCACCTGATCGGACGGAAGGCTGTCCGTAACCGGCAATTGTGGAGTATTACCACCCGTAGACTGAGTTGGAGAAGTTCGAAGTACAGATTGACAGCACGAAGTACTCGATGAATTTCAAAGAGACTGAGTAAGAACGAATGAGGAATCCTCGCTTGCTCACACCTGATCAGGGCCCAAGTTCAGCTGAGCCAGATCGCGATAGAATCTTGTCAACATAGCCCGCACAGGAAAGAAATTGGTAGAGAGGAAGAAGAGGGTGAAGGAGGATCCGAGGATAAAGGGAAAGCGGTCATGTCGAAGCTCGCGTGACGAGAGAGAGAGACCGAAGGACCGAGAGAGAAGGAGGGAGGAGGGGGGAAGGGAGGGAACACATTCGAAGTATGACAGGGGATGATGGCCTGACCAAGACACACACACACACACTGCGGGGAAACAGAAGTGCAATCCCCGGGCAGCATCTCAATGACATCTGACAGGAACCAGCCAAGTGAAAGGCAAGAAAGGAAAGAATGCCTTGCCCTTGCATGTCTCTTGTCCTGCACTGGTTATGTGTCTACCTACACAACCCTTTTGATGACTAGATGTTGCGAGATGATTGCAGACTGTGTATCACCAACCCAAAGGGAAGTACAGTACATATTCTGGCATCCACATATACTTCCCGTTGTAGTAGTCACTCCCTAAAACGTGATGCCATCGCACCCTCTGCCCATAGTCTCCCCTCACACTATCAGCTGGCATCTGAATACCAGTCACAACCGACCCCATTTATATCTTCACAGAATTAAATACTCGGTAAAACAATTACTGCCGCTGAATAGCAAAGCCGATTTTCATTCATGAGCGAATGTTCATGACAAACAAGACACCCAGCCGGTAGATCATCCTGAGTACCCTGGCTGATGAACTAGTATCCATAGACCGTGCAAATGTACATGCTTCCAACTGCTGCAATAAATAGCTCATCCATGCCCTGCACGGGGAATTGTTCCCGTACCCGATAATTCTAGTGTTACATAACAAAGGAGCAAACAAAGAACAAGAAGCCGAGGAAACATTAAATCAGAAGAATCACTCAAGGCAGTGAAAAATAACCATCATGTGTAGCAGTCCACCGAGGTGACCTGACCGAGATCGTTCCAACGCCAACCCAGCAACAAAGGCAGAAAACAAAAAAGAGGTAGTACCGAATAACGGTTACGTACCCATCGAAAGTGATGGGGGCTAAATCGGTATATGGGAGTCAACATGAAAGGGAAGGGAACAAAGATAAATAATATACAAGAAAAAAGAAACATTAGGTAAGTGTGAGAATGCGATATGAAAGCGACTAGGCAGTCATAGCAATGGCAGGAGCCGGCGAGGAGGCGTCAGGGATGTTCGAAGGCAATGGGGTGACATCTCCATCACCCATGTTGCTCTTTTCGCTCGGAACGCCGCTGGCACTTTGGTTGGCCTTGCTGTCACTGTCGCCCGTTTCGAGTGCCATCTCTTTGGCCTCGCCATTCTCCTCGGGCCTGGGGGGTTTGGGAGCGCGCCAGGTTGGCAGAGCCCATTGGATGCCTGTGAAGCTTTTCAGCTGCAAGGCCTTGCGCTCCCATTTCCGACATGGAGCACCGGTACGGTCCAGCGCCCGTAGACCGGCATTGATGGCGCCAAGGTTGGCCTTGGGGCCGAGCTTATGATTGGCCGCCAACTTGGCATGGTCGACAGTTCCATCGTCACTGTAAGGCCAGCGGTGTTAGTGAGACATGCACATTGAGAGAATAGGAGCAAAAATCACATACAGTCTAGGCTTCTTCTTAGGTCCGGGCTTGCCTCTCGGCCTCGGGTAAGTCTCACCCGTTTGGCCTAGGCCCCGTTTGCTCCCCGGCTTAGGGCCCGGCACGCCCTTGCGACGGGGAGTGTCGGCAGCGGAGGTGCCCGCAGCAGGCGTAGATGCTGCATCGGAGGCATTGTCCACGGAGGAGGGCGGGGGCGGTAGTTCCGCCGAGGAGGAGGCCGGGGACGAGGGCTCCTTGATCTTGACCGGGGACTCGGCCGGGGTGTCGATGTGCTTCTTGTTCTTCGACTCCATACTCTCGGGGGGTGGTGTCGCAAACTGACTTAGCAGATCGGGTGACAATTTGAGTACGACCATCTTCTTCGAGCTTCCAGACCGGCTGGAGCGACCGTTCGTGGTAACGGTGGTGGTGGTGGTGGTGGTGGTGGCCATGGCAGAGCTGGCCGCCGGTATCTTGGTGGCTGAATAGATCCGGGGAGTGGAGGTGATTCCAGAAGGGAGTGTTCGTCCGGTGGGCGATGAGGCTACCCGAACGGGGGTGGAGAGAAGAGAAACCGAGGCGACGTTCGTCTGAGGCTGAGTGGCGACGAGATTTTAAAAAACCGCGTAATCGGACGAAGAAAGTTAGGAAGGGGAAGGGGGGGAATGAGGAATTAAACGGTGATCGTGACGTGGGTGACGGAGAGTAAGGTTGGTGGTGGTGGAGAGAAGAGCGTTGGCGTGGATCGGGTCGAACACGGCGGCGAGATTGGGTCAAGGCGAGGCGAGAGTCTGGCAGGGCTGATTGAGACAGGCAGGGTGAGGCCGCGGTGACATAGTCTGGTGGTGAGGCCTAGAATAGTGGTGATGGCGGTGGTGGGTGGTGTTGATCGTGGGTATAGAGTGAGAGTAGAGGGAGGAAGGGGGGAGAGGAAAGAAAGAAAGGAAGGACGGGGGAGGGATGAAAGGGAATGGGGATGTCGAGGCGCCGTGTGGTAGTTTCATTGCGGTGGTGGTTGGTTGGGTGGATGTTGTGTGTTGCTCGTCTAGGGAACGAGTTTTCTGGTGCGGTCAGTGAGAGAGAAGCTCGAAGGGATGAAGTCTTCGTACGCCTCGTTACCGCGGATCCCCTAATCGGATGGGACCCAGGAATGGACTGGGACGGTACGGAAACCAGAACAATACACATACTATACGGAGTACGCATATATCGGCTGGTTACTATGTACTATCTACATAGTATAGTTCGTTGATCGTTGATCGTTTGATCGTACTGCTGTACACACATCCATATATACGGTTACGTAGAGTCTGCAAGTATAGAAATAGTTGAATTAGTGAAGTTGACCTGTTCAATGGATTGAACTGAGGTCGTGTGTTAGTTTTTGAGTCAGTCAATTAGTGTCGGTCCGTCCGTTCAGTCACTCTTCCCCCTTCCAGGATGTTCCGGGGGCAGAGATATGGTGGTATTCTCCTCCCGAGTCCGGTACTTTGCGTTGCTGTGCTTTGCTTGCTTTGCTTGCTTTGCTTGCTTTGCTTCTTCGGCTTCTCTCTCTCTCTATTCATGTCAGGTGATTGTCCTCTGGTTGAGAACCAATGCAGCCTTTTCCTCGAAACCACTCTATCCCACCTATTCATCCCATGCTCCTATTCATCCCAATTCTACAATTATACTCCACAAACAAATGGGATGGTAATAGAATAATGGTGGTCTTAGTCTTGGTCTTGGTTTGGTTTCGTCTCGTCTCGTCTCGTCTGGTCTGGTCCCCGTCTCTTATCCCAAATTAAAATCCACCCCTTCTTTTAGTTCTTACTCCAACCATGTCTCTTTCGCCCTTCAACTATCGAAAGGGAAAATATGGATCGTCCGTCCCGCCTCGGCCGCGTTAGACTTTTGTGCACTCCCTCCCAGCTTGCGTCGAACGAGTCTGGTTACGAATGAGATCCTGCTTGTGATCGTCTAGAAGCAAGCAACAGCAATCAGCAGCTGAGCAGCACCAGCAAAGCACCTGGCAGCAACATCATAACCCAATTCTGGGATCACCTGTAGTATCCACGCATCCGTGACATACGTGCGCTAACCATTCTATCTCTCTCATCACACACATATATCCGACATCAGTCAACCGCCGAGGCAACGCCGGAACGGACACCGAAAACCCCCTCTCCCCCCGGGACCAGAAAATGCAAGTGATGCGTGATGAAAGGCAGCCCAGAAATACCTCATCCCAACCAAGAAAAAGGACGGGAAAGAAAAGAAAAACAAAAAAAAAAAAGAAAAAAAAACTCTTTCTTCCAACCATCATCCATTTACCGATCGGCTTGCCACTTCCGGCATGTCATCACATCCCCCTCCCCCATCGCTAGTACTTACTCGTTAACTAAATCCCTGTGTCCACTCTGATCCTCTCAACACGAAAGCCAACCACCAGACCAGACAATCCATGAAGAGGATAAGACAATGGAAGGGTAAATTAATCCCCGCCTGACTGTAGGACTGAGTATACTGAGTACGAAAGCTCAACTCCATTGACGCTTATCTAACCACCTTCAGTTATTCCCCCTTTCATGGTCGATGATTTCTCGTACATTTGTAGTAGTCGTGTTTGCTTCTCGCGGCCTGGTTGGAATCTGACGGGGGCCCGAATCTCAACCCGGATTCGATGGGCAAATGGCAACTGATCCAGATGGATGCGTTCCATCCATCCCTACTAATCATCTTAATCGCCCCGATCGCGTACGACGGGATTGCCACGAAATAATGATGGCAGCCTTGATGACCATACAATCAGACAGCCACTTAATAGTAAATATAACTCAACGTGGCCCGTGACTGACGAAGAGCATTACTTGATAGAATCTCAATCCTCACATATACAAATTCAATCGGCCTTCCCCTGCTTCTTCCGCTGGATCACCTCCGCCACAGCCTGCTGCACCACCGGGCTGGCTCTTACGCTACTCAGCACCAAGCCTTCCTTCATTCCCTTGCGCAGCGTGGCCACACCCTCACGATCGCCCTTGAACGGCGCGAATCCCAGCTGCAGTAGCTTAGTCGCCTCGCCGTCAGTGGCCCGGGACAACTGCAGCAGCTGTCCCAACTGCTGCATGGTCTTCGGGTGCAATTGCTCCCCCGCGCCGGACGAGGCCCGTCGGCTGATCTCCGGGGGCGTGACCTGCGAGATGAAGATATGCAGCGTCACCGAGGCCCGTTGGGCCAGCGTTAGGATTTGGAACGGCAGCAGATAGAACCCGGAGTTCTTCGAGGAGATGCCGAATAGTCCTTGAACGGCATCCGGGAGGTAGGATGCGGGAAAGAACAACGCCTTGGGATGTGTGATCAGTGCCAACTCGAGGCTCACCAGAGCTGCAAAGGTAAAGAAGCGCCACTGCCCGGGGGGTTCGTTAGTACGAGGTATTCAAAAGCGAAGTAATTCAGGGGAAAAAACCCACATAGCGCCCCCAATCGGACCACCAGGTGAAATGTAAGATCATGATGGTCACCAGACCCCCGATGTACTGCGGGACCGATCGCTGCAATCCAGCAAACATGAATTCCTGCATCGTCTTCTTCTCTCCCCATTCGAGCATGCTCGGCCCGAACCGATCGTAGGCAAAGCGTCGGACTGGATCCAACAACGTATCTTGCGCCAGCTTCAGATAGACGAAATAGCCGTCGGAGCGCAGCCCGTCACTTGCGCCGATCTTGTCCGGATGGTGCTGGGCGGCCAGCCGGCGGAAGCGCGACTTGATGGTTCGCTCGTCAGCCAGGGGCGAGACCCCAAGAGCCTTGTAGAAATCGCCTGCGATTTGCACCCGGTGGAAGGTCTCGTAAAGCGTATAAAGAAGGTAGCTGGTCACGACCAAGATAAAGATGCGACGGCGATGCCGGGCGTAGCGCGGAGTGCCTGGCTGAGGACGAGGTTCACCAGCGCGAATGGTGAGTCCATAGTAGACACTCTGCGCGATCGATGTGGCATACTGTCAAGGGGACCTGTCAGCCATACCATTCTCGATGCCGTGCGCGTGCTGTATAGCACTCTCCGACAGACGGGACACCTGGCGGGACGCAGTGTCGCGGGGAAACTGAAGGACTCACATTTGGGAGGACGGCCCATCCCATATAAGACAAAAGCGACGCCATGCGAGAAAACTACCAAAATCCTCTGACTGACAGATAAAGCCTCGACTATTCCTCCATCGAAGGTCAGCTACAGCCAAATACCAATCGAAATTCTCAAGGAAGTGTTTACTGGGGAAGTACGGAAGTAAATCCCCTTGTCTTGTCTTCAGCGCTTATCTCTCACCGCCACACCCACCGCCCGACCCCATTCTCCCCGAACAGGAAAAACGGAGAGGGAGAAAAAAAAAAGGTAAAAAAAAAAGTTCCTCGACATCGCAAAGTCCGTCCTCCGCAACCCCTCCCCAGATTGCGACGCAGCGCATCCATTGCGCTTTCTACAGTCACAATGGCCGTCGACGCGATGGAGATCGACTCACACATTGCCTCGCCGGCAGCGAATCGCTCGCCGGAGAAGGAGCGCAAGCGCAAGCACAAGGACACTTCGTCCCCATCGAAGAAGAAGCGCAAGCACACGATCACCGACGAAGAGGCGACGCCGATGCCCATTCGCGAAAAGAAAAGCAGCAGCAACAGCAACAGCAGCAAGAAGTCAGCCACCAAGAGTCAAAAGAAGTCCACGACCACACCGGCAGAAAGTTCCCCCTACACCCTCACCACCGCCACCCTCTACCTCCCACTGTCGCCTATCTCCATCTCCCCGACCCACGCGCAGGCCTCACTGATGGCCGAGCACCTGTCCCCGCTGCTCCTGACCTACTACCCGCCGCTCGAGGGTATCGTGCTGGCGTACTCCAACGTCACGATCTCCAGCACGCCCCCCAACAGCCCGGGGTCCGCCGCGGCGGCCGCGGCCACCGAAGACCACCCGCAACCCCTCACCCTGGCGCGCACGGCCGGCGAATACGGCGTCCTCTACGTCTACCTCACGGCGACCTTCCTCGTCTTCCGCCCACAGCGCGGCCAGCTCCTGGAGGGCTGGGTCAACGTACAATCGGAGGGGTTCCTCGGCGCCATCGCGCTGAACCTCTTCTCCGTGGGTATCGAACGGAAACGCCTCCCCTCCAACTGGAAGTGGATTCCTCCAGGCGACGAACACGAGGACGAAACCACCACCATCACGACCACAACTACCACAACCGCTAAGAACACCCCTAATGACGAAACGAATCCATCCACCACCACCTCAGATGACTCGGACTCAGATTCGTCAGAATCCGAAACCAAGTCCAAATTCGACCCGGAACTCGAACACTTCAGCCCCGTCACCCTCGCCTCCGACGCCAACCCCCTCAACCCCTCCAACTCGAACCCCGACATCTCCACCCACGACCCCACCTCCAACGACGACGATGATGACGGGGTAGAGGGCTACTTCCAGTCCGTGTCGGGCCACCGCGTGCGCGGCACGATCAAGTTCCGCGTGGTCGACATCGACGTCATCCCGGGCTCGGAGCGGGACCGGGGGTTCATCAGCATCGAGGGCACGATGCTCAGTCCCGAGGAGGAAGCGCGGGTGCTGGAGGACGAGCGGAACGGGATCCTCTCCACCGGGCTGGGCGGTAGCGGTAGCGGTAGTGGCAGTGGCATGGGCACCCCGCGCCGCCAGGCGAGCGTCGACGCGCCGCCCTCGGTCTCGTTCACCGTCCCGCTCAGCGCCGCTCCGGCGGATCGGGTCGATGAACTCGTCGACGACAATACCCCAAAGGCCGAAGTCACTTTTACTCCAACAAAAACCAGCAACAGCAGCAGTAAGCCCAAGAAGGAGAAGAAGAGCAAGTCCTCCTCCGGTAAAAAGGAGAAGAAGGAGAAGAAGTCCAAGGACTAGGTGCCTCCCCAACGATTGTCATCCCGTTCGCTTTTCCCTTTGCATGTGTGAGTGAGTTTGAGCGAGTGTGTGAGTGTGAGTGAGTGTATCTACGGGGGAGGTGCAGCATATCTCATGGTGGAAAAAAACGAAGGAGTCGAATTCTGAGCTCAAATGCAAGCGCACCGCTTCCGTCCAGCTCCAACGGGCCAGAAACGGAATTATGTTGATAGTGTGGTCTTTTTTTCTTCTGCTTTCTCTGTTCATCCTTATATACTTCATCTTGCTTGCCTCGATGCTCCTTTGCTGTATCTCTTGCCGGGCGTTAGATGGGTGAATCAAAACTACGTTTTTTCTGATCAGTTGGGAATCAC